CATCCCTGTCCACAGCTACACACGGTTCCCCACGGTAGCCTGCTGCCAACCCAGCCAAGCCCATCAGCTTTGGAAAAGCCTCAGCATTCATTGGGCAAGCAGGTGCTCACCTTGGAGACTCTTCAATTGCTTTTCACACAGATACAGTCCCTTCTTAGTTCCAAATTTGGGTGGGGTTATTTTCAGTTAGAAATAGTAGGGGCAGAGTCCTCTGTAGGGAGAAATAATCTTCTGAGGTATGATTACAGTTCTTTATAGACTTACAGCAGGGCCTAGAAAGAGATGCTTAAATACTTAAATGGGTTTAAACTGAAAGTGGGGAGGTTTAGATTAGATATCAGGAAGAAGTTCTTCCCAGAGAGGGTGGTGAGGCACTGGAACAGGTTGCCCAGAGAAGCTGTGGATGCCCCATCCCTGGAAGTGTTCAAGGCCAGGCTGGATGAGGCTTTGAGCAACCTGGTCTAGTGGAAGGTGTCCCTGCCCATGGCAGGGGGGTTGGAACTAGATGGTCTTTAAGGGCCCTTCCAACCCAAACCATCTGATGATTCTATGATTCTGTACCGTAACAATAATAATAGTAGTAATAACAACAACCCATAAACAACTTCACTTTCCTTCCCAGGATAAAGCAAAATCTGGACTATAATAATTTCACAGGATTTACAAGAAAGCATAGAGAAAACTAAGAAAACATGTTCAGAAACTATGTTTCCTATTACTTGTTTTGTAACCCAAATGACTCTGCAGATTTGTGTGCATTTCCATTTATTAAGGGCCCCAAATCAGTTCCCATCCTGCCACTCTGAAGTGAGCAGTACGTGGCTCTGGGGGAATTACTTTCGATGCTAAATAGTGCCTTGTTCCAGTAAAAGGCCTCCCTATCTGGTGGATACAAAGCTTGTAAAACTTTTCTACTGATTCTTGAGCTCAACTGGACAGGATTACTTGAAGAATCAATTGCCATTTTCTTAGATTAGGGGAAGACAAAATCAGGCCCTGTGCAAACATATAGAAAATGATAACTACTTCTTTTTGATAACACATCCCCTTAACCATTGCTAATTGAGAGACTGGTCAATTCTGTGGTTTTGCTTTAGGCATTGTTTGTCTACTACATGGGAGGCTCCCAGCAGCAAGGTAAATTTATTGAGGATGAATGGACAGGTCCCTTGCCTTCAGCAGAAGTGTTCTGACATACGCTACCGCAGGACCTTTCCCAGCATGTCTGGTGTGATTAAGTCTCTGCCAAACCACTGCTTTTAAACACTCTTGTACAACTGGAAAGTTTCTGAGACAGGGATGGACTTTGCCACCAGCTTCGTTTTACAAGAATATGGCACTTGTTCTCAGGGTTTTTCTGGAAGGGGGATTTCCCGACCTTGGGCTGTAGGGAGGGCGAGGTACACTCTTCCTCTAAAGTGTAGGTGGTGGGTGGCCTTGCTGGAAGTCACAGCTGGGGTTGGGTGCTGCCCTAATCTTCTCCTTAAGGACTGGTGCCAATGCTCCCACCCAGCAGGGGGTGGACTGGGGATCTGCAAAGATGAGAGCTCAGTCCCCCCAGTGACCACCAGTGGGAGAGGCCGTGCCACAAGGACCTGCCTGGAGCACCACATGGAGCCGGCACTGGATTTCACTGTGGGCTGCTCTGAGAGCATTTTGCACACGCGGGTCCCCCTCCCTCACTCGCAGGGAAGTACTTCTGGCCCCATGGGAAAACAAAGGCAGTTCTTCAGTATGCCATTTCCAACTTGGATGGACTGACATTTCTGTTTCTATGGAGTGTTGATCACATTTAAATGTTGTTCTTTCTTAAAATGTTCTTGGTGTTCTCTGAAGGGGGAAGTTGTTTTCCTGTTACTTGCCTCTGCCTGTCTTTCCCACATATATGCAAAATCTGCGTAGTTTTTAATGAGATAGGTTTTTAAAATTATCATTTACTCTCAGTGTCCATTTTGGGGGATTGGAGCATGAAACCCTGAGACATGTTATCTGTGTCCACTCAGCTACACCCAGTGAAAACATCCCTTCCATTCCCTCCAGGACCTGCCACCCTCAGGCCATTTTATTCTGGGACTTGTGTAAAACACACTAACATCATGTAACTTCCGTAGCAGTTGGAAGGCCAAGGAAGATCCCAGCAAGGAAAGAAAGGCAAACAGATGCCTCCATAAGAGGTTTTGATAAGGAAAAGGAGATACTAGATAAGGATCAAAGTGACCTCTGAGAGGGGTGTGGATGAATGTCCACTCTGTTCTTCTTTTGGAGATACCCAGAGAACACCTAGAAAGGCAAATCACCTGAATTCACTATTTAAAGAGGAAGCCTTGACTTTTAACATGTGGAAAGTAACTTTCTGTAAAATGCATCTTTGTTCTCCACTATCTCTTTGTTACTGAGCAACAGGTTAGTTGCAATTATCAGCATACGGGATAAAGAAAGCAGCACGGTGTTGTTACAGTAAGTATTAATAACAGGAAAAAAAATTCCTGTCACTGGGGCCAGAAGGAGTGAGGAAGATCTGAAGCCATGCAAATTATAAATGTCTATTAATTTCTGCTTTCTGCAGACTAGGCTGAAGTCTGGGATTCTTATTCTCTTTATATCTAATTTTGCTCCATCGGATTCTTACTGAAGCTTTGGCTTTTTGTGTTTATCATTGTCCTGATTTTTTTAAATAGGCGTAGCACGCATACGGATATAGACTGACTTCTCTGGCCACTGCAGAGCGTGTAGGCATTTGCAAGTCCCATGTTCTTCTCATGCATGCTGGGCTTTTGCACACATAAGCACATAGAGAAGAAAGCCAAGGGACTCACGCAGCACAGGGGCTCCCTGACATTGGGGCAGGCAGGGGGTTGGCCATATGCAGCCTTGGGCTGTGCTTCAGTCCCGTGCCAGGACCCGCAGCTTCCTTCACTTTCAACCAGATAAATAATCGTCATGCCACACCAACTGCCTGTCAAAACCTGGGCTAGGAGATGCTTATCAGGAGAGTGAAGTCAAATTACCCATGCTGGGTTTGCTGCACAACTGCTGTTGCCTCTCCCACTGCATCCCTTTTGCAATCTCCTGCTCGGAGCTCTCTCCGCACGCAGCATCTGGCTGACGGGGCACACACAAAACACGGGTGCTGGTCTGTCCTCACCCGATTCCCGCTCCACCCCATGTCCCTCCATCTCCCTCATCTCCTTATTTTCACACCAGGCTGTCCTGGGAGCAGCCTTGCTGCCACAGCGACACTGGTTCCGCCAGCAGACCCCAGGGAAGGCAACTTCTCACCACTGCAGCCCAAGGGCCGCCTGGCAGGGCACGGCCGGCAGCCTGGGGCACAGGCAGAGCAAACGTCTTGGGGAGATGCAACACGTTATTCCTCCTACAAAATTCCCAACGGGATAGACACACACACAGAGTGAAGGTGGGCAGCACTGTATCTTTTCATCCCTTAATGCACACCTTGACACTGTACGAACACCAGAACTCCCTTTCACCACCTGTAGAGCCCCTGAAGGCTGTTGCTGAGCATAACCCCATTCTGGCCTTGGTTTCGCTCCTTTAGCAACAACAGCAAGACACACACCATGTAGCCATGTTTTCTATTGGAAACAGCACACGGATGTGTGCTTGCTTCTCAGAGGATAGTGCCGAGCAGGGGCATTTCATACCTCCGAGATGCGAAATCAATGGGTTTTTTTAATTTTCTACTGCACTACAGGACACAAGACCAACTTTCTCCCTCTCTTTCTCTGCTATGAACCCTGAAAGAAGTGAAGTCAGAAGAGTGACCTTGGATTTATATCACTGATGGCAAGAACAACATCTGCCTGAAAGCGAGATTAAAAAACTTGCACTGTAAGGCTAAGTAGGGTTCTTCCATAAAATTCTCAACATGCAATAAATTGGGTTGTAAAGCAGGTTCTGATAAATCAGCAGTGCACCTTTTAAGTATCAGAAAGCTTGTGAAATCACAGCACTCGTAAAAGATTTACCTTCACTTCTTTGTTACTCTGTATTTGTTTTTCTTACTGTAAATCACTGTCACTGAGTTTAATAGGGCTTACACAATATTGTAAGTATCTCTTAAGCAATATAATTGCTATTTGTGATCCCACTCATGCTTGAAAGCTTTTTTTACTGGAGGGGAAACCTTCCATTTTCCAAATGGCTAATTTGTAATGAAAACTGATCCCCCCCCCCTTGCAGTGAAAGTGAATAAAATGGGAAGGCATTTTTATACGACATGCAGCATATGGGTTGGGCACTTTGAGTAGCTGTTTTAAGTTGCAGCACCATATTGCTCATAGAAGCTGGGTCTGTCG